CAGCTAATCTCTTACTTAGTTATTCACAATATAAGTCAACCCGCCTAACATTAATCAGTCACTCAGCTAGTCAATCAAAGCGTAGAAACATAATCACTATCCATCAGTCAATCATTAAATCAGTCAACATCAATCACGTGATCACCAATCAATCACTCAGACAGTCAATCGTCGCTTGAACACCCAATCAGTATCCTTCAGTCAATCATTTACTAGGTCATTCACTAGATCAGCCAATCCACATCATCATCAATCAGTTAGTTAACCGCTCATGCATAATAATAGTTTCGTCTCCCTCACAGCGCTTGCGTCAACTAACTCCCGAGTTGGAACTGGCCGCCACCAACAACTTGGCCGTGGGCTATCAGCGGCTGCTCTACTATCGGCACGAGAATGGAGCATTCAGCGCCTTTGGCCTGTCCGCCAAGAAGAGCTCCACATGGCTGACGGCCTATGTGGCCAGATCGCTGCGTCAGGCGGCGCCCTACATTCAGGTGGACGAACATGTGCTGCAGAGTGCCCTGGCCTATTTGGCCAGCGTGCAGTCCAGCAATGGCGGCTACGAAGAGCACGGCGATATCTTTGAGCAGTTCGACGATGGAGGCATTAGTCTAACCGCCTTTGTGACACTCGCCATGATGGAGAATGTGGTAGGTGATATGACAGAAATTGTTGAGAATTCAATTTAAGTGGAATACCTTTCAGGATTTACATCCTGAGTATCGGAATAACATCAACAAGGCGCTGGACTTTATCACGCGAGGCCTGGATGTCTCCAATAATCTGCATGCCATGGCCCTGGGCACCTATGTGCTGTCCCGGGCCAATCATAATGCCAAGGCCGCCTTCCTGCAGCGTCTCGACTCGCTGGCTATGAATGCCGATGGACGCAAATGGTGGAATAAGACGGCCCCGGCTGCGGAACAGCAGTCGCCCTGGTACAATGCCACGCGCAGCGTCAACATCGAGATCTCTGCCTATGGCGCATTGGCGCTGCTCGAGAATAATCTGGTGGGCGATGCGTTGCCCGTGCTCAATTGGCTAATGGATCAACGGAATATATTTGGTGGCTTTGTGGGCTCGCAGGATACGGTTGTGGGTCTGCAGGCCCTGCTCATGTTCGCCGAACGCTTCTCCAGCCAGGGCAACAATGTGCAGTTGGCTTTCAATTACGGTGAGGGTGCTGAGACCATACTGAATGTGAATGCAGAGAATTCGCTGGCGCTGCAGAGTGTGGAGGTAAGATGAAGTCAGTCGAAGTTAACAAAAACTTTAACTGATTCCAAATCAAATTGGTCTGATTCACAGCTGCCCAACAACATTAAGAACGTCAGCATCTCGGCCACTGGGCGTGGCTTGGCGCTGGCTCAGGTTAGCTACAAATACAACACAAATGTGACCAGCGCCTGGCCGAGATTCGTGCTGGATCCCACAGTGAATCGCAACTCCCATGCGGACTACTTGCATTTGTCTGCCTGCGCCAGCTTTGTTTCGGTGCCTGGCGATGCAGAGCGCTCCAATATGGCTGTCATGGAGGTGCAGCTGCCCAGTGGCTTTGTGGTGGACACCGATACGCTGCCCACGCTGGAGTCCAGCGAGCGCATCAAAAAGGTCGAAACACAGCAGCGCAACACCAAGGTCATCATCTACTTTGACTATCTGGACAGGCGAGAGGTCTGCCCCACGTTGCATGCATACAAAACTGTGAAGGTCACCAAGCATCGACCCGTGGCTGTTGTCATGTATGACTACTACGATAGTGGTAAGTTTTGCGAATTCTGATTCCACCATCCACAGCTAATCCTTATTGCCTTCACTCTCCCCTACAGCTCGTCGCGCTCGTCAGTTCTATCGAGCGCCCAAGTCGAATATCTGCGACATCTGTGAGCATGCGAATTGCGGCAACATCTGCGAGAAGGCCGAAAAACGGGAATCGCGTCGTCCCGATGATTATACGGCTATAGCAGGGCGTACCTCAGCTGGCAATGGCCAAAAGGCAATATCCGTGCTGTTGCTCGCACTGAGCATGCTCTCACAACTGCGCTGTTAGAGGGGTGAAGCGGGAGGCGAAATAAACGGAAGCTTTAACAAATACCACTCATCTACTTAATAAGCTAGACCTAGAACAAATGTGAACTAAACCCGATTAATCTTAACGATGCTAAAAGTTGCCAATAAAAAAGAAAAAATCATTAACATCTACTAAAAATCTACGAGCTCTTTCATTTAGTATAGAAATTAAAGAACTCTGTACTATAGGATACCAATAGAGGGTTATCTGACTATTGATTAATGGTGAAATAATAAATTATATAAAGGATAATAACAAAGTGAGAGCATTGCAGTCTGTTCACGTTCCCAAATCCGTATTATATGGAGCCAATGGACTCGCTTTACACCATCTGAACGAGCATTTAGTAAATATATACAAATATACACAATACAGATGGGTTAGCCGTTATCGCCCCGATTATAGCTCGTACGCGTTGCTCCGATAGGCGACCTGCTCAGTGTCCTCTGTTGTCGGTTGTTGCTCGATGGAAGACTCCTTTGGCTGAGTGTCGTCGCTCATCTGGGCAAGGTCAGTATTCGAGTCGGACTCTGGTTCCTCTAAGTATGTGTAGTTGCGTGCGAGCAACACGAAGAGCATCATATTCAAGAGCATTATGCTGGCAAAGAGCGCAAACTCAGCCGATTGGGTGCGGACGAGCTTCACCTCCGCTACGACAACCACCATCATATTGCCAATGGCCACGGAGAGCAGCCAGCAGGCCTGCAGCACCGACTTCATGCTGCTCGGTGCCTGAGTAAACGAGAACTCCAGCCCCGTCACCGCGAACATTATCTCACCGGCTGTCATGACCACAATCTGTGGCAGCTGCCAGAGTACCGAGAGCGTTGTGGGGGGTACCACCTCCAGCATGTTGTACTCATATCCGTCGCGTGCATTTCCCTGAACCAGGAGGCTGTAGAGTCCTCCCTTCTGGGCATTGAAGCTAGCGGCTCGCTTGCCATTGATGTCGAGCTCGCCATAGCCGAGGGCAACTTCGTGCAGGGCCGAGAGATTGCCGATGTCCAGCAGGACGCTGGCGGGACTCGAGGCGGGAGCCCTCAAGCGAATGGGACCCTCTTCCGGTGGCGTGTTGATCAAAGTGCGCAGCAGCAGAGGTCGATTGAGGCGCTGCACAGTGCTCAAGCCGTCGGAGAATTCCCGAAGACCGCCTTTGGTTAGGAAATAGCTGACTGATTGGCCTGGCTGAAGGTGCAGACGTCCCTCAATATTCGGGCAGCGTTTACTCGAAGACTTCGCCTTAAGGCCCACCTCCAAAGCCCGGGGCACGCGGAGCTCCAAATTGGACCACATGGACAGCGAATCGATGGAGTCGGCAACTGCCTCGAGCTCGCTAATGAGATCATAGCGACATGGCATCCCATTGTAGAGACGTAGGTGGACCATGTTTGGGAGCCTGGGCGCAGCCTTCGGCTCCAGCTGCTCGAGACACAGCTCCACGGCCGCCGACAGAAAGAAGCAAATGGAGGCGAACAGCAGGCCAAGGCTGAGCTTCTGCAGCGGGCGCTTGATGCCGATGCGTGCGAGCAGCGGATATACGACATAGTCGAATAGTGGAATGAAGAGGAGGATGAGCAGCGGATTGATCACCTGCATCTGGTCCGGCTTGATATGGTAGCCAAGCACATCGCCATCCATATGGGTAGCCTGGAAGGTCCAGCGCGAGCCCTGCTGGTCGGACAGGGCCCAGAAAGCAGGGAAGGGTATATAGAGCAGCAGGACCTTGATCAGGCACTTTGTCTCGTACACCATCTTATCTCCCACAAAGGGCGCTGCATAGTCGAGAAAGTGTGGCAAAGGACTCTTTTTGCGATTCATCCGCCAGCCCCTGTACGCGTTCGATATGCAGTTCGAAACGCCGAAGATCATGTTGCCCGATGGCGGGCGCACCCTATAGCGCAATCTGCCGGCCACAAAGATCCCCATCGAGACGAGCATCAGCACAGCCGGCACCCCGAATGCCAGGGAGTAGCAGTCCGCGTCCCCGAAGCATTGAACATCTGCGCGCAGGACGGGAGTGACCGCTGTGGAGATCATGGATCCCGCATTGATCGCAAAGTAGAACAGCGAGAAGAACTTGGCCAGCTCCGCGCCCTGATCTGGCAGGCGGAACTGATCGCCGCCGAAGGCCGACACGCAGGGCTTGATGCCGCCAGTGCCCACAGCAATCATCAGAAGCCCCACAATGGTGACAATCTTAACAGGCATGAACGGTAAAGGTATAGCTCCAATGGCGACAAACATCGCACCGACACTATATACGACCGACAGGTACAATATCGTCCTGTACTTGCCCAGCCAGCCGTCCGCAACGAGAGCTCCAGCGATGGGGAAAACGTAGACGAGCATCGTGAATACGTGAAAGAGCACAGTCGCCGTCTCCTCGTTGTACCCCAGCTTTTGGGTAAGATAGAACACCAGTATAGCGCGCATGCCATAATAGTTGAAGCGCTCACAGAACTCGTTGCTAACGATGAATGCCACGGATTTAGGGTATTCCAGCAGCTCTTGCTTTTTCTTTGTCGCTTGCTGCTTCTCACTAACTGTCAACTCCTTTGATTCCGTTGTTGCTTCAACGTCTGTTGCTTTCATTATTTATTGTTGTTTTAGTTATTAATAAAAGTGAACTTTTGAAAAGTACAAAATCAATCGATAGCTAATTAATAATTAATCTCTTAATTTAATCAAAAGAATCGATAATTATCGATCTTGCTATAACTTTGCATAAAAATCACTTAAACACTCACGTCTACTTCAGATCCATGTGAAATTAATTATTTTTATTTATTATGAAAGTTTCCAAAAAAGAAAAAAATAGGAAACAAATTCTTTAATGTCAATGAAATTTATTTAAATATAAAAAAATAAAACAAAGTTTCGTTTCATATTTGGTATTATTAAAAATTTTATGTACAATTTTTTTCATTATTTATTTTTTGTTCTTATTTGTTGAGTGGTTTCACAGAGTGAACCGTTGCAGACCAGAATTTTGCTAACTTTTATACCAAAAAGAAACATGTTCAAAGATATTATTGAAAATTAAAAGTGTAATCGTGGAATGAAACGTACAGAAGCGGAAAAGATCCAGCCAACAGCGAAAGAGAAGAGAATCAAGCGCGATGCGCAACGCGGCTATTGGGCATCCAAAACAGAGTTCGTACTCACTCTCATCGGCTATGCCATTGGCATTGGCAATGTCTGGCGATTTCCCTACCTCTGTTATCGCAGCGGCGGTGGTAAGTCCCCGACAAATCCCCAAATGGATACATGCATACGTCAATGGGCGTCTGACATCATGTGCTCAAAATTCGCATACTCATAGCCTTTGATTATTTATGTTAAGTCTCTGATTATGGATGTTAAGGGTTTTCATTATTTCTATAAAAATACTCTCTTTCATACAGGGCATCTCATAGTCAACCTCCAGTCCACTCTCCAGCAATTGAYGATGAGTGAGTGAGCATTTCAATGAGTCTTCATTGCTCGTTTCACTCAGTTGTGGCTCGCGCGCTGCCTCTGTGCTTAAGCTAAAAATAGCGCATGCTCTGACGTCATGCACACTCACGCACACACACACACACACACTGCACAGCAAAGCACAGTCTTGGTGTGCGTGTTTACAGCTAGTGCAGTGTCTATATTAAGCTCCACAGCGATTGCTGTAGCTTTCGAGTGAAAGCTGAGGTAGCTTTTGTTGCTGTTTTGACGGCGGCCAGCGGAGGCCTTCGATAGCTCAGTTGGTAGAGCGATGGACTGTAGAGTTTTCGAGGTTGATGAATAAATCAAGGCTGAAATCTATACCTAAACAATACACCTTTGGTCTAGATAACGCAATCTTAATCTTATTACCATCAGTTTGTGGAATCGATATGTTGAAATCCATAGGTCGCTGGTTCAAATCCGGCTCGAAGGATCTTACCTTTTTGGGAATTTTATTNGATGAGTTATCGAAAAAATATGATAAACTTGTACTGCCTATGGTATACACGAGTACGCATGCCAAATTTCAGCTCTCTAGCTCTTATATCTTCTGAGATCCTTTTGATCATACGGACGGACAGACGGACAGGGCTATATCGACTCAGCTCGTCGTCCTGATCAAGAATATATATGCTTTAAGGGGTCTGCGATGATTCCTTCTGCCTGTTACATACTTTTCACAAAACCATTATACCCTGATTTCCCATTTTCAATGGGTTCAGGGTATAAAAAGACTACAGCTATAAGCAGAGCTATCAATTTCATTAGTTGGCTTAGAGGAGCAGATCGAGGGGAAGACAGAGAGAGAATATAACAGGCGAAATGAGGCGTGGCAGACCACATGGAGCACATACATGTATTCTTGATCGGGTTGAGCAACTGAGACGATGAAGTCATTTCCGTCTGTCTGTCCCTCCTCCGGACACTCCTTAAACTTCACCTGTCTATTGTCTGTCCCATGCCGTAAACCTTAAAACTAGAGAGGCGGTGTGGTACAGCCCACCAAGTTTGTCTGCTTAAAATGATTAGGCAACAGAAACTTTCTTGTCCGTTTTTTGTTTATTTTGATCCTATGAAATAAGAAAATATTGATAAGCCCAATAACGTATTTTAGTATATATGTATGTGTGAAGTCCTTACACGCCTGCACGTTACTTGTCGGTAATTCAATAAGAATTTTACAATTAGCACTTGGCATTTGAGTATATGCAAGTCATTTCGGGGTCAAAGTGTTGGTTAATTTGTCAAGCATAGTGATTCACAACACTGAGGCTTGTCTAGGCCACTCGTCCATTGATGGCGCCACAGGCTCCACCAACTAAGTCCATATATCGCTCTCTCTCTCTCTTGCACGCTCCCTTCTGTTCTAACTCCCTATGGCTCGCTATAAGCCTAGCCTATGGCCTATGCTCTCAGAATTTATGAAATTTCTATGAATTCAAGTACTTTCCAATACGATACATTGTAAAATTGCTCAACACTACCCATGCATTATCGATAGGTACAGCGTACTTTAATTATTAGTACTGTCAAAGGCAGGCGAGCATAAGCACGGAGCTAGATTCGACTTCACTTTGGAGTTTGTTTTCGACTTTGGCGCACGTGCTTTACAGTTGCTTTCTGATTTCCTTCGAATTTGCTTTTGCAAAACCAAAAATATTATAACCATCGACTAACCAACTTCAATAGCATTCGTTATTCGCAATTAGAATCGAAAAACCATGGCTGATCAAGGAAATATCTTCGGGTGAGTGCCGGCAGTCGCCTCTGAGTGAGCCTGATTGCATCTAAATGCAACTCATTTGCCAATTAGCAACGATGAATGCGCTGAGCAGCAGCAGCAGCAGCAGCAGCAGCAGCAGAAGCAGCAGCAGCAGCAGGAGCAGGAGCAGCCTCCGGTAATTATCACTGAGGGCGTTGTCCAGCAGTCTGGCAACGTCGATCAAAGGTAAGCGTGCGAATTTTGTGAAAATCTGAATGCACAATAATCAAGGGGCCTCGCCGCCGCAGCATTGCCATCGCCTTGGAGCCCGAGAGCGAGGACATGGAGACTAGCTTGACCGATTCGAGCTTTCTCACCACTGACTCTGGCGAAGTGGAGATGAACGACGTAGAGCCCAACGTGGCCCAGCCAGCCGCTGAGCAGCAGCTGCAGGGGCAGGTGCAGCTGCAGGGGCAGGAGCAGCAGGCCGCTGCTGCAGGTTCTAATCCTTATTTGACGGCTCTGAGCATCTATGGTGTTGTGCCGCATCTGATCAATATCATTGGCGAGCGCAATGGTTTCACTGCTCCTGCGAGTTTCCTCAACGAGACCTTCTTTGAGACAATGGCCCAGGCGATGCCTCGCCTCATGCTGACTTCTAATGGTGTGCCGCAGGAACAGTGCACGCCGTTAGCATTTCCCATGATAGACATGGGAGCCATCTGCAACGACTACCCCACTATGCAGCGCCTAATGCTAATGACCGAGATGCACTTCGAGGAGCTCGTCCGCCTCTGGCACGCCCTCCAGGCCACTCTGCAGCTGATGGCCGCCGCCATGGCACAGTTTCCAGTGCCCCCGGTCATGGACCCGGAGGATCCCGATTACGATCAGGACCGCGTCAACAACTGGACTGTCTATCAGAGGCAGCTGGACGAGTTCGTTCAGGTCGCTGAGATGTTCGCTCAGCTCATTCAATACGAGCTGTGCGGCGTACATCATCCTTAATTCGGCCATGTGCAATCTTCAAACACGCCCACAATTTTTCAGATGTATCATATCAGATATTTCATCAACATTTGCAATTTTTTCGAAATTTTTTAATTTAATCTTTCTCCTGTAGTTACTATTTCAGTCTTCTCTCTCTCTACCTTGCAAGCCGTTTATTATTAAGGAGCTGTAAATAATTCGAAATTTTTTTTTTTTTTTTTTTTATATATTGGTCATGAATGAAATGGAGGCTCAAGCTCACTCCCCAGCCATCAAATAAATAACTTTTCATTTATTCCAGGTGCATTTCTCGTGCCATACACGCTGATGGTGATTCTATGCGGCATTCCATTATTTTATATGGAAGTGCTGATCGGTCAATTCTCAAGCACCGGCTGTACCAGTATGTTCCGTCTGGCTCCTTTACTAAAGGGCACTGGCATCTGTATGATGATTGTGAATATGTATTGTGTATGCTACTATTCTGTTATCATCTCGTATCCCATACGCATGTTATACTATAGCTGTTGGAAGACAGTGCCCTGGATAAACTGTGAACAGTCGTGGAATTCGAAAAACTGCACTAAGATTGAGGGCGTAAGGGCGAACGATTCTGATTCTATTTTCATTTATTTATTTTTCGTTCATTTTAATAATATAGGTGAATAATACGACTGATAAATTCGTCACGCCAGCCGATGAGTTCTTTCAGTAGGTGAAACTCGGCTTTGTCTGTATAGACATTTTCATTTTCCTATTCATTTCAGTCTGGAAGTCTTGCGCATCTCGAGCAGCATTGCTGAACTTGGTACCATTGTGTGGGAGCAGTTGATTTGCTTACTCATCACATGGATCATAATATTCGCATGTGTGGTGCGAGGCATAAAATCGGTATGATATCGATTACTTATCGACACAGTAACAAAGCTATACATCTAACATTGTTTCACTGACCAGGTGGGCAAGGTGGCTTATTTTACAGCACCGTTTCCCTATGTACTGCTGACTATACTTTTCGTCCGTGGCGTCACCTTGCCCGGCGCCGCGACTGGCATCAAGTTCTTTTTCTATCCGGAATGGCATCGCCTGCTTGACTTGCGCGTCTGGTCGGATGCGGCCGTACAAATGTTTTTTGGCCTCGGCCCTGGCTGGGGCGGCATCATCAACATGGCCAGCTTCAATCGCTTCCACAACAATGCCAAATTCGATTCCATTTTGGTCGTAATGATCAATGTCTTCACTAGCATTTACGCCGGCATCGTGGTCTTTTCCGTGTTGGGCTTTTTATCGAGTGAGTATGAGGTATATACCTACATAAATACTACTCTCTAACTAATGTTTGCTTATTGCTAGAAATGTCGGGTAAATCTGTGAGTACAGTGGCTACCTCTGGCGCTGGACTCGCCTTTGTCACATATCCCGAAGCAATTGCCAAGATGCCCATTCCACAACTATGGGCATTTCTGTTCTTTATAATGCTCTTCCTCCTGGGCATTGACAGTGTGGTGGGTAGAAGTTAAAGAATTTCTTTGTTCTTTATACTAATTTTTTTCTTAGCTATGATTTCAATTGAAGGTTGAGATATCGATAAAAAGAGAAAACATATATTTGATAATGGAATACTCAATAATTTAATCACTTATATTTAATATATTTCATATTTCAATATTTTGTCTATATACTCATTTCGCTTTGTGAATGTATATAGAAATACTATATTCAAGGAATATTCTATGCTATGCTAACCTCAATCAACTCGTTTTTTTTTTCGCTTCCACTTTAGTTTGTTCAGCTGGAGGCTATTACAACATCCATTCTGGATGAAATCCAAGTGCTGCGTAAATACAAGTTAACGCTGACCACAGCCTTGTGCATCTTCTCCTTCGGCTGTTCGAGTATTATGTGCACCAATGTGAGTACTTGGTGGAGTGGATGTAGAGCAACTAACGACGATTATTATTTGTAGGCTGGCATGTATATATTGCAACTATTCGATTGGTATTCATCGGCTTTGTCGATTATTGTCATTTGCTTGGTGGAGATTATTATGATTATGTACATCTATGGCATAGATAATTTCTTAACAGACGTCGAGTTCATGTTGGGTAAGCGGCCGAATCTTTTCTGGAGGATTAGTTGGAAGTATATAACGCCTATAGTTTTAATCGTAAGACCTCAGTTATACACATAGCTCTTCTTAATGCGATATATCTCCACACTTTTGTGATTTTTTTTAGTTTATTCTGCTGACCAGTATTATATTTCTAAGAGAAATCACGTACAACGGAGTCAAGTATCCAAAGTGGGCCGTCGCGCTGGGCTGGCTTAGTTTTGTGTCCTCGATTATATGGATACCGCTGTACATATTCTTTATTATGATCCTCAAGCGCAACACGTTGTGCAGTAGCCTGAAAAGGCGAATGAGGCCACTGGACTGGACACCAGCGGATCCGCAAGATCGTGAGGAATACGAAGCCTTCAGACGACAACGGAGAGCACCTAAATTTATGACAGAGTCAGAGGCAGAAGGCCCGGCGACAGCTGAGAAGTAACAAATCTGTAATATTATTTGTATTTGCATATGCCATAAAGTGGTTTAAGAATTTCAAAATTCATACGTCTTTTTATTACATTGCGAACAAGATTAACAAATGCTTTCAGCTTCACAATTCATATCAATGCACCTCCTCGGTCACCTCATAAAGCTGATGTGTAATGTCGGCATTGCCCACAACTTCCTCGTACTGCTGGCGATCCTCCATTTCAATGGGATACCAATCGTTGGGGCGACAGGCGCGCCTGAAACGATTGCAAAAGCTGCCCGTGTTCTGGAACATTATCAGGACGCCATAGCCGGGAATGAAGAGCACTGATAGCAACACTACAATCAAGCTCATGGTTACCATAATGTCAGAGCTAAATGCATGCTCAAAGGAGGAGATAAATATGCCCATGACCTGGAAAGCCAATCAAGAGAATATAGACATAAGATCTCTTCATTGCATAATTATTAAATACTAACCAAGGCAAAGAGTAGAAATAGCGGAGCTATAAAGCGCAGTATGAATATCTTCCACGAGGCAAAGGGTTCTCCCAGCATAAACTCGATGTCGCGCTGGAAACGCTCACGTCCATAAACCCAAAGTATGGCCAGCAGTAAAATCAAGTGCATCAGGCTGTGCGTCATAATTGCATCCAGTGATAATGCCGAAAAGTACTCAGCCCCATTCTATTATAAAGTAGTAGGTAGAATGAGATGGTTATATATGAAAAAAAAGTAGAAAATAAAATAAATAAATATACAATAAANTTAATTTGCTTTTATTTATTAAATTGTAATATTATTTATGGGTATATTTGTGCAATGAACCCACTGAAATGGGGAAATACGCAGCAGGAGGCGTGGCAGACGCCATAAGGTATACATACTCTTACCATACATACTTATATATACTCTTTTTATTTACATATCAATTGACAAACCGGAGTATGGATCTGGAAGTGCTTGGACTGTGAATAGGTGTTCTGCAGTTGGCAACACCCGACCGCAAAGGCTGTTATTATCGTTTGTAACAGGCAACAGAAGGCGTGGCAGACCCCATAAAGTATATTTTATATATACTCTATATGCATAAACAGATCTCGCAACGAATAAGTGCTCTGCAGTCGGTAATACCCGTTCGTACTTCTTTTTACATTGAACATATAGTTGAATTGTATAAGGTGAACAACTATTAATACACTTGAATTAATTTGTATTTTAATACTCATAAAGTAATCCAAGTTTTCTTTTCCAAGTGGCATTTCTTCTGGAAGTTCTTCTACAGAGCATCAACATTTTACATAGCATTAACATTTTGTAATCGCTGTACAAAAAAGTGGCATAATTTCGTTGAGTTTTTACATTGTGCAACGTAATTAATATTTAAATTTTTAATTAATAATTATAAATTGCTTATTACTAAAATATTTTTTTATATTTATTTCTTTTTGATTGAGTTCGTTTCATCATTTTTTGTCTATTTATGTTGTTGCATTTTATTGAAACTGTAATTTATTCCCGATGATCAGCATTACGGTTAATTCCGCTTTGCATTAAGTGCTGTGCGCAGCCAAGCGCATTGGCGGAGTTGATATGCCCGCCGTGCGCCTTGCCGGGCCGGTCATAAATCGCCCAGTGTCCTGCGAGTGGGCTGTAAACACGCCCAAATAAAAATACAAATAAATTAAATAAACAGTAACAAAACAACGCAAAGACAAAAATCATAAAAGAAAACAAGCGGCAACGCTGCTGTCGGGTGTTACCGACTGCTGAATACTCATCCACGGCACAAGTGCTGGCTGATTTGATTTTCCGACTTATCCTACGATCAATGGGTCTATATATGTATATGTTATATCAAGTTCAATGTCTAGAGAGAGAGAGAGAAAGAGAKATAGATAAGAGAAAGAGCTAATGACTTCTCTTTCTCTTAACTCTGTAATTTAGTAAATTTTTCTTACTATTACTCTCGATGAACTTGAATACATCTGCCGACTTTAGCTACCGTGGATTCTAAAATGCCAGAAAATATATTTTTCAATTTGCCACGCCTTTAGGGGGTATCTTAAGCATCTACACTGGGATATCATTAAAATTTCAAGTCCTTAGCTTCAATAGCGCTGAAATGGTTTGCCTTACGCATAGACGGACGGATGGACTGTCGGACGGACAACTAGATGGGCATTGCATGAAAACAATATACTCATTTCACATACGTGACTGAGTATAGAGATAAAAATGAATGCGTGCGAGACAGAGACAGAGAGCTGTGCGTGGGAGCGAGACGGCGTTGTAATTGATATTTACTTTAGAGCGAGCGCACATAACAAGATTGAAACTGTAAACACACACGCACACCCACACATACACACACTCATACATGCACACTTATATGCATATATGTACACTCTTTTGAGTATTTACTTTTATGAGTGGCTGTCCAATTGTCGCCGCCTCGGGCAGATCAAAATAATAATTATTGCGCCAATGCAAAGAAATCATTAATCGAACATGCAAATGGCAAAAACTATTCTGAAAGCATGTGTGTATGAGTGTGTGTGTGTGTGTGTGTGTGTGTGTGTGTGTGTGTGTGTGTGTGTGTGTGTGTGTGTTGGAGATACGGTTAAGCTGGTATATCGCCTAGCTGTTAGCTGAGCAGAATCTGGTGAGAGATACGAGAGCTTGGCGCAATCCCATTTGCCCGCAGCATTCGCACAGCTGCTGATGCGGCCTTAAACCGTGAATAATGTTGAAATGTAATTATACATAATTCAGACACAATGCCAAACGGTAAATCTGTGCTGGCAGCGTACGAGTGAATGGGCCACCCATCCAGCCGGCAAGCCGCACTGAATTAGCACCAGCCTCTGCTGGCGGCCGCCAACATCAGTTGCAGTTGCAGTTGCAGCTGTGGATGCAGCAACAGCAGCAGCAGCAGCAACAGCAGCAGCAGAGTCGACCGTCATTTCCTCCACACACCCTAATTAGTTAAGCGAGGCGTACGAAGTGAGCAGCATTTGATTCGCACTCTCTCTCTCTCTCTCTCTCTCTCTGTCTCTTCCCATCTCTCTCTGTGTGTGGGCGCCTTTGTTAAAGCCATGGCACTCAACGTGTTGTCGGGGCAACGGTGAAAAAAATTTTATGCGATTTTCCTTTTATTTGCACAATAATCATGACGACAACAACAATAGCAACAGCAGTAGCAGCAGCAGCGCAAATAACGGAAAAAATAWATATGGCCAACTGCTGAGAGTCGACACTGAGATGAGCTGTACGAACAGAGTAATACATCAATATATACTATGTTTATATGTACATATCATATATCATATATCATATGCCAATACATACATGGATCTCCAGCAAAGCCAATGCCAATGTCAATGCCTGACCTGGCATATAGAAAGCAATAGTCTACGCATTTTAATAAGGAGTCTGAAAATAGAGAATATAATATAGATAAGATAGATGATACAACATAGTTATAATATATACGTCTATTATATACCTTTAGATTCCAATATTTAAATACTCTAACATGCCAAATAATTTAGAGGTGGGTGGCCATCAATAGAGACGATAGTTATTGAAGAGTCACAAAAATGGCAATAGTTAGAGCAATCGATAGTGACGATGGTTGCTTAAGATCCATCGATAACCGGTTGTCGATAGTCTGCAGAATAAAAGCGCAGAGCAGCGGACCAATAAGAATTTTCTTTGTATTTTACTTTTTTGCATGGATTATGGCACAATTACTGTGGGTCTATATGCATATATTATTGCACAATGCTAATAATCGAGAGTTTATGTCAACTGCCCAAAGTGATCTCCGTAAAAAGAGAGGCCAAAATCAATTGAAACCCAGCCTGGACCAGAAGCTCACGCCGTTGGACCTTGAGATGCATCAGCGAACATCGCGGGATTTATTTGCACATCTGTAACATAAAATATACAATTACACAATTTATAGACGTTAGCGTAGAGCTGCTATATATCTAAATGTATACGTATGTAGATATACATATACATCTGTGTATCTATACATCAAGATAACTATATATCTAAATGTATATATACATATGTAGATATCTATATATACATCTGTGTATCTATACATCTGGATATCTATATTTCTATTCGTCTCTATATCTATATGTTTGTGAATCTCTATATCTATACATCTAATAGCTTGATTTCTATATGCATATATCTATAAATCCTTATATTTTCGTCTATATTTATATATCTATATATCTCTCTCTATATTATTATATTATCTATATCTTTGCATCTTTACACTTATAAATCTATGTCTACATATCTATCTGTATATCTATATACCACTATATATAGATTCTTATGTATCTATCTATGTAAATCTGTACTACATCTATATCTATCTCTCTTCTTATCCATATGTCTGCAATACTTTTCCTGCATATACATATCTCTATACCGTAATATATCTATAATCTATGTACCTTCATGTCCATATTTCTCCCTTGTGCTTATACGCCCACAGCTTGCTTTAGATTCCAGGGTATCTGCATGCGATGGCAAACAGCGGCGCTATGGTTATATTTCAAAAACTATCGCTGCATTTTGGCTAGGCAATGGCTGTGAGCGGGTAGGTGTGGGGGGCGTGGTGAGAGGGATGGGGATTCAGGGGATGGGGGGCGTATGTCAGTGAAAGGCTGAGTGAAGGCTGACGACTGTTGTTCGGCTGTTGGCAATTGGATGCATGGTCATCTGTGTATCTGTGTATCTGTAACTTTGCAACGGTAATTAAATTGCAGCTGCCTAAAAGTAGGCAATGCTTTTGTGCCCGCCGGAAAAGCGAGCGAGCGAACGGACGGGCTCTGTTTTTTGGTCAATGTAAATCGAATATACAGTGGACAATTGCGGCACAAAAGAGTTAAGTGAGAGAGACAAAAATAGAGAGAGAGACGGAAACAGAGGTAGCGACAATTTTGAACGGAGCTTAACGCTCAACTGCGTGCGCATTTCTTAAATTCATCACAAAAGAGTTGCAATTGCCGCATTTGAATTTGAATGTGCTTAAGCTATGAGAGAAAACTTTGGCATGTGTGTGACATGCGTTGTGCAGCGTTTCTCATGTTTATCTTAGGCCTACCTAGAACAGGGCTCAACTGGTTGGATACATCAGCAAAAATACTTCGAGTTGATGAGAGGAAAAAATGCAATTAATAAACCAAATAAGCCATCGAGTCGGAGGCAGAGACAATGTCAGCTAGAGCCAGTGTTGGGCAACGTCTGAATGGGGTTTATGAAGCTACCAGCAAAGAAGATGATTTTGTGGTCGAGTGGCAGAGGCAGAGGCGGGGGCAGAGGCAGGCAGTAGCCAGAGCTACTTAGATCTAGCCGCAAGCTGTTGACAGCAGTTGGCCAACTGTAAAGCCAACAGCAGCTGGTCAAGCGACAGCTGGTGGGCGGGCTGGCCAAGAGCTGAGTCGAATGGGCAACGAGTGTTAAGCATTTTAATTGCAGGCATTAATTTAGACATGACTGTGGCAGTTACTGTAGCAATAGCTGTCGTTGTTGTTGTTGTTGTTGTTGCACCTGCAAATGGCAGTGGAGCGATGCGTAATCAAAAGTTCATGGGCAACGTAAATAATTGCTGCAGGCAGGCTAGACACAAAGGCATTTGCACCAAAAACCAGCAGACGGACGGACGGACAGATGGA